GCCCAAAGGTCTTCAGGTTTTGTTTTTTTGGTAATATTGAGAATTGAACTGAGGTTTTTCAAACTGAGCTACATCCCCAGCCCTTTTTATTGTTTATTTTGAGGCAGAGTCTCACCAAGTTCCTCAGGCTGGGCTTAAAAACATGCAGTCCTCCTGTCTCAGCCCCCAGAAATGCTGGGATTATAGGCATGTGCTATTGCTCCTGGCTGTACAATTTTCTTTTTAAAAAGTAACATATTAAATATCTCTAATATCTCTTTTTTTTTTTTTTCTAAAAAAGAAAGGGCCAGTGGGAAGGAGCCTGTTGAGTATGTGAATGAGCAGTCAGAGTGGGAGGACCCACAGAGGCAGGACAAGGAGGGAGCTGTTGGCCTTAGGAGGAGGGAGGATGAGGCAGGCAGCAGCAGTCAGGAGGTGGCCATGCTTGGGGTCAGAACTGATCCGGGCTGGCTAGTCAGGTCTCCCACCTTGCTGTGGATGTGGCAGCAGAGTTGAAGGCTGCTGAGGAGACATCCTGTGAGACTTGGCAGCTGTGGGAAGGCCGGGGAGAAACAGGAGTGATCCCCAGGTCTCTGGTGGGGACCACTGTGTGGCTTGTGATGCCAAATGCAAGTCAGAGCTGGGACAAGGTATCCAAAATGTATGTACCAATATCCAACAGCTATTTAGAGGGACAGGCAGCTTAGGGTGTTGGGGATGGAACCTGGAAACACCCCATTAATAGATCAAGGAAGGGGCTGAGTGCCAGCGGGAGGAGGAAAATCCACAAAGCAGAGAGGCAAATGATCAGGAGGAAAGGGCAGCAGAGAACCGGGGGCAGCAGAAGCTGTGCAGGGAGGAGGGCGGCTGGGAGTTGAGGGCAGGAGGCTGCCAGAGTGGAGTGGGGAACAGCCTTTGTGCAGTTTCTGTGAGCTGTGCCCTCTCCCCGCCCACACAAGCTCTCAGCTTTCATCCCTTGGAAGCTGGGCCTGGGAAGGGAAGGCCTGGGAGGAAGAAAGCCCCCAGGCTGGGCCCCCTGAATGAGGCCTCAGAGCCTTGGCTCGTGGGGGACCCTTCCTTTGAATCAGGGCTGCTGCTCAGGCCTTAATTAGCAAGTAGCTCAGGGGCACCGGGTTTCCTCATTCAGAAAAGGATGAGGCACCATGGAAACCTCAACTAGGCTGCTCCACAGGCACCCACTAATAGGGCCGCCCCCAGGGCTGGGGGTGCTTGCCAAAGGCCATTAGTTGGAACCCATGCAGACAGGTCAACCTGTCCCTATCCTCATTGCTGAGGTTCCAAATCCAACAGCAGTGCCCAAAGGAACCACGGGAGTGAGGGTCACATTTTTTTTCAATGTCCCCTGGATTTGGAAGAATGTCTTTTTAAAAAGTGTCTTAGTAGGAACTTGGGGGTATTTCAGTGTTTAAGGCATGCTCAGCCAGGTGTGGTGGTGCAAGCCTGTAAACTCAGCACTATGGGAGGCTGAGGCAGAAGGACTGTAAGTTCAAGCCCAGTCTGGACAACTTTATGAATTATCGACTTGTGTCTAAATAAAAAAAGCTGGGGATGTGGCTCAGTGTGAAGGGCCTAGTCTCAATCCCTAGGACTGAAAAATAAAAAAAGAAAGAAAAGAAAAGAAAGGCATGCTACTTCCAGATTAAGCTGGAGAATTCCCAAGATCACTAGTGGGAGGATGGGCAAGGCTGGTGTGGGAATGGGTGTGCACAGTCAGATCTTTGCCTTTCCCTTAGATTCCCAGCCCCAAGGCTGAGGGTGGACCTTACCTCTCCTTTCTTCTGTCAGCTCTAGCTGAGAAGTCTCTGGAGGCCACCTTTGCTCTGTTCCTAGCCTGAGCCCCCTGGGGGATCACAGCCTGGAGCTGAGCTGTGCTGGCTGTGGGCCTGTGGCTGGGGTGAAGCTTGAATGCTTGGTTCTCACAGGCCCCTCCAGGCTCTGACAGCCCCTCTGTGAGAAGTGTTCACATGATCCATTTGCCATGGGCTTCATGGGTGATCAGGGTAACATAGCCAACATACAAGTCACCAATGGGCTTCAGGCAAGCAAGTCAGTGGGACTTGAAGACTTAGGGAGGGCAGCTGTGTGTAAGGGAAGCCACTGGGCACCTGGTCTGTGCATATAACCCAGATACCAGGTCCTGTTTTTTTTCCTTCTCTCTCATCATACTTGTGTTTGGTTCCTAAGTAAATCATTCCTTTCCTGGTCCTGAAACAAAAGTTAAACAGCAGTTGGAGAAACTTCCTCATAGGCACACGAATTTGTTTCTTGATGCTCAAGTCTTTGCTCCTAAGGAACAGAAATTCAGAGGAGTGAGGTATTTACAATGCCTCTGCAGCCACATGTGGCAAATGGTAGCTCAGTCCCCACGCCATGGTAAGGCTGAGGCATGATGAGAAAGGGGCCTCTGTCAGGGAAGCGACAGCCACAGCAAGAGCGAACCTGACAGTCCTGGAAATGAAGGACTGGTGAACAACCCAAATACCTGCAAGACAACTGGGCCTTTACAAAGGCCAGGAACAAGTGGCACAGGAATGAGAGTCCTGTTCCTTCAGAAGATGCCTGTGTGAATTAGGTACAAGATGCAAATATAAAATACCAAAGGCCTAGATAAATAAAATACCAAAGGCCAACCCACACTTTCACACCCTGCTTGCAGTATTAGGGCTTGAACCCAGGGCCTTCACACTGAGCTACATCTGTAACCATTAAAACTATTTTTTTTTTTTTTTGGTACTGGGGATCAAACTCAGGTCTTTGCGCTTGCCAGGCAGACGGCAGAACCACTGAGCTAAATCCCCGGCCCTCTTGTTTAAATTTTTGAGACAGGTTCTCACTAAGTCACTAAATTGCCCAGGCTAGGCTTGAACTTGTGATCCTTGTAACTCAGCCTGCCAGAGTGCTTGGATTATAGGTATGTACCATCATACCTGGCCTCCCGAGCCATCTTTAGAGTTTCACATTTCAGCATCCAGATGTAACTTCTCTTGCTTTTAAGGCTATTCCCCAGCCCTGGTATGTACTTTACTGGTAGTGGGCACAGTGCTGGGACTGCTAGTAGTCCCTGGGAACCTGGGGAGGTGGGAGTCTGGAGACAAAGCCAACTTAGGCCCATGGCAGGGTTTGAGCCAAGTCTCTGGTCCTCTGTGATTTTCTGAGCCACATGAGAGCGAACACATCTTTCAATATCTGAGGAGGAATTTGCAATTACTTTAGACAGGTTGTAATGGAATTTTTATTTAGATCTTAAAGGTTATAGTGCTTTCCACAGAAGGTATTTATAGCTTTAAAGTGAAGCAAAGCTCTGCTGTACTGATCTCAGTAGATCTGGGCTGGCTGGGCTGTCTTTAATAATGCCACTGGTCTTTTTGCAAGGAAGATTTTGGTTCATCCAAGGGATGTGAGCACAGTCCTCATTTTCCTTGTCAGGAGAAAAAAATAGACATTCATCAGACAGTACCCAACCAGCACAAGTGGGCAGGGTCATTCAACCAATGTCCCTCCTAACATAGCCAAACCAGCCCAGAAAAAAACCCCTAATATATCAAGCTACTTTGTCCAAGCACCAGGCACCAGGGCCTGGAAACTTAGCCCTAGCTGGCACTGTCACTAATCTCAGTGTCAGGTCACCCACCCAGAGCCTGGGGGGATGGTAGCATTAGTGGCTTCCTCTGGTCCCTCTTCCCTGTGGGAGACCACTTAAGCCCTCTCCAACACATTGCTCTGGATTCACCATCTACATAGGAACTTGCTGCAGAGCTCCCATAGAAACCACCCTCCTATGGCCCACGCATGCACACGCACTTCACTTCTCCTTTTTTGCCAGTTTCAGGGCTGCCTGGCTATCCCAGCCCCCTCCCTGCATTTCCTTCTCAGCTGCATCTGGTGGGCTGACACATCCCAAGGGCTGCAGAGGGCCACAGCCCTGCCTAGTTCCATCTTTGTGATCACCTAGCCTCAGAAGAGATCCTGCTCCTGAGGCTGTGGTGTCTGCTCCCTCCCTGTTCTGAGGGAGGGGAACAGCATGCTGGACCTGCAGGAGCTGGGTCCTGAGCAGCCAGCCTCTTGAGTATCTTGGGGGATGCATGGAGGACTTGGGACAGGGCTTTCATGGAATACTCATTGGCCAGGGTTCACCAGCTCTCCTAGTCCATGCTGGCAGTGCAAGGGCCACAGGTGTGGGTGCTGCCATGCAGTGAAGCCAGGGCTGGCAGATTTTCACATCTTTGTTAGTGCTATTTAAAGGGCCTGGGATGAGGCGAGCATGGTGGCACACACCTGTAATTCCAGCACTCTGGATGGCTGAGGCAGGATGGCAAATTCAAGCCCAGCCTAGACAACTTAGCAACTCAGTGAGACCCTGTATCACATTAAAAGGGGGGGGGGACTAGAACCCTGGTACACCCCCCCCCCACAAAAGAGGCTAGATGTAGTTCAGTGTGAAGGCCCTGGGTTTAAACCCCATCCCATGAAAACAACAGTTAGACTACTTACCATTCTATTCCAGAGGGTAAAGTTTTCCTACTGTACTTCAAATTCAAGGTGATGTGGAGGTGTTGCAGTGAAATCAGGGCAGAGTGAGTGACATGACATGCGACACCCCCACCAGTGCTACACACACCTGGGTCTGCTTTAGCACTTTACCTGTGAGGCTGAGGTCCCTTCTAGTCTCCCTACGGATGTCTACTTGCTACCTTCCAGGCCCTGCCCACAGCCCCCAGCAGGCCCAACCCCACCCCACCCAAGGCCCCAGTGGGCCAGGCCTATCTTACTGAGCAGCACCAGTACAGGAAGAAAGATTAAGCCCATCCAAGTCCCCTTCCTTCCTGCAGAAGCATCCCCCATCTCCTGTACCCATACATAGACCCCTGATCACCCAAGCCCTGGGCACCTGTTGCTTTGTGGTATGCTGTTCTGGCAAAAGGTGCTGAGTGACCAGCCCTCTGGACACTGGACATCAGCTAAAGACACAGGTTTGAGGTATTGTCATCTACTGAGGTAGCTTCAAGACAGAATGTTTCTTTTAATAGATGAGCAATGTCCCATCAAAAGAGGCAGGCAGGAAAAAATGTACATATTTACAATTCTTGGGTATTTTCTTGGAAAACTCAAGTCCAGGGATCAATATGGATCTTGTCTTCAGCTCTACATACTGGTAGGTCACCATGTGCAGAGAATAGCCTTGATGTACAGACACTGCCCAAGCTGAAGTCCTGCTTTGTGCTCTGTAGCCTCTCCTGAGGCTGACGTGCTTGGCTGGCCTGAGGCAGGAATGTCCCCACCCCATCTTCCCTCAACCTAGAACTCGGGCTGCAGTTCTGATGAACTGTAACACAGAAATGCCTTCTGCTAGTGGCGAGTCACAGATCCAAGGACTACCCTGGCCAGTGTACAGAGACAGGGGTCACCTGTACCATCCTCTTGTGCTTTAGTGGGCGGCCCTGACAGATGGTGTGAATCACCAGCGAGCAGACGCAAGGAGTGAAAGGAAGGCTGGTACAGAGGGCCCCTCAGATACACACAACCCAGTCAGTTTAGTAGGGAGGAGAAAATTAATGGGGGCAGCCACAGACCCAGTATGGAAATCAAACCTGCCAGGGGTCTGCAGTTATTCTGCCCACCATGGGGCTGGGTGGAGAGGGGCTGGGCAGCAACCCTTGTGCCAGCTCAGGCTGCCCCATGCTGCACATAGGAAGGCTGCTGTGAAGAGGCTTAGGGGTGCTGGGGGAGGAGGCTCTGGAGGGGTTGAATGGTCCTGAAGGGGCTCTCTCCTTGGACGACGGCTGATGTTGGGGAGAAGTCCTGTACCTCAAGTGCTGGGCTGAGGCTGCACTCCCACAGGATTCTACCAAGGATGCTTAGGTTGTTCCTGCACCTGGACATGCTGAAACTCTGCTCAAGCCGGAGCCCTTCATCTTGGCCCATCTGGGGTTCACCTCATGGCAGGACAAGGGACAGACTGAAGCTGTGGGTCTTCAAAGGTGCTGCACAGTTGCCTGGGATGCTGCTGCTGAAGGGGCCAGCATGCCCACAGCGGCCTTAGCACACTGAGGGTTGCAGTGCTGCTCCTTGCCCCACAGTGGAATGCAGACCCACCTTGAGACTCCAGCCTGCCTCCTCTCACCCAACTCCCAGCCCTACCCAGGTTGACCCTGGAGGTTATGGCACCTGCACTGGGCCAGGGGATCATGTGCCATTGCTCTTTGGTCACTGCCCGGGCTTGGCAGTGTTGGATCCTCCAGCGACCAATCCCACCGAACCCCTCCCTGGGAAGGGTGGCTGTGGGGACAGTGCTTCTGTTAGGCCACTGGGTGAGCTCAGCCCTGGTGGCCATGGTGTCACAGGGTGAGGACTCAGTGCCCCGCTGGCTCCTGAACAGGGTCTCCTCACAGGTCAAGGTCAACAATACATTGCTGGAAGATCACGTCTCTAGAGCTCTCCAGCTGCCCCTGGGTCATGGCAGATGTGTTTGTTGTCCCTAAAAGCCACATGGACTGGAGACGACAGGACAGAGTGATGCAAGAGAGTGGCCTCCCCCAGAGGGTGAAAGGCCACCAGGACTTCTCAGATGGACAAGCAAAGCCAAGCCAAGGTGTTCAGGAGGGATGGGTCTTCCCCAGTAAGACATGAGGGTTCCAGTTTGGTTATCACGTCCTCTAGAGCGGCTCTATTCTTTCCCCTGGTGAGCATCACTTGGAGATAGCGATTAGGGGTCTAGAATGGGGAGGGACTCTTCTTTGTGGGCAGAGCTGGCATAATGACAATGTCATCAGAGTCATCGGAGTAGACATCATCCACAGGTAGGGCTACTGTGGGCTGCAGCCCCAAGGGATAGGGCTCTGCTGAAATAAACCAGAGATATTGGTCAGGGCTGGCAGCATGGACACCCACCATTAGCAAAGGAAAGGCCAACCAACGTTTTGCCCAGGACTGAGCCTAGAGCCAACCTTCAGAACCAACACACACCTTGCCGGAAAGCCCTCTGGGATCTCCCAGCTGGGAATAGTTTGGCCATTTCCTGAAATCAAATGAAAGGAATCTGGACATGGGCCAGTGGTGGGCACTAGTGCAGGCAACGCCACAGCCACCTGTGTGTCTGAGCCTCTGGCCAGAGGAGGGGCTCCCAGACTGTGTGCCATGGTACAGCGGTTCCCAGGCATTGACTGTGTTGAGCTTTCCCTATGGCCACTATTTTCTTCCTTCCCTCCCTCCCTCTTTCTTTTTTTCACACTATGTATTAAACCTAGGGCTTTTGCACTAAGCTACATCCACAACCCTTCTTATTTTCTTATTTTTAACAGGGTTGCACTGAGTTGTTAAGTTGCCTGGGCTGGGCTCAAACTTGCCATCCTCCTGCTTCATCCTCTCAGTGCTGGGATTACAGGCCTGTGTGAACACACCTAGCTTACTTTCTTCATATACATCCGAATGCTTCACTGTACACTGGGAATAAGGTGCCATCTCCAGTCCAATGGGGACAGCAACCCCAGTGGGTCCCTTGGGGTGGGGTGGGCCTGAAGAAGGGCAGTTCCTGCCCAGCAGTTTCCCCATGGCTTCTGGGCAGAGCCAGACCTACACGGACCTGAGCTCTTGAAAGGGAAGGAAATTACAATTCAGCCACATAGCAGCTAATACAGCTGCCTCAGCTTTTTGGTTGCCGCTTTCAAAAAATATTAATATGAAAGTGGAACCTCAGGAAATTAAAAATGTCTTCAAGGTTATTTTTATTACTACTTTCTTTTCAAAAACACAATCAACTGAAACAAGAGCTTGACTGATATGTTTCATGTAGATGCGTGCCTTCAAGTTGGCACATGCTGATGCCCACATCCACTGACACCAGGTGTAGACAGGTGGATGAATCTGATACTTCAGAGCCTCATTAAATAAGAAGAGGAAAAGGCAGCATAGACACTGTAACTCTGGTCAAATAATCCAAAGGTTACCAAACCAGGTCTGGAGAAATCAGTTTGGAGAACAAGTTAAAACCTTGTAGGCTGGAAGTTACAACAGCTGCCAGCTTTTCAGGTTTCAGTATCTGTACATCCTTCCTCCAAATCTGGGGGTGGCTGAGCATTTTCCCTGGGCTTTGCAGATGGAGGTTTTAGAGAGGATATCCAAGTTCAAAGTTTTCTAGCTCTGACAAAGCTAGGAAAAAAGTGGCTAAAGTGGATAGGATGCAATTTTGGATGTGATTTTCCAGGCCAAACATGGTGTGACATTCTTAGCTCGAGTAGGAGGGTATAAGTGGCCCCTGCTGCCCAACCTAGAGAGAGACTGCCAGACCGAGGGAGGTGTAGGTACTGAGTCTGGCCAGCCTCTGAGTTAGGGCTTATCTTTGATGTTCAACTCTTCTATCAACAATGAAGGGTGATCACTTGGGAAGGTGTCACCTCTGCCACCATTGGCCCCACACTTACCAGAGTGGAGCTGCAGGCCAGCTGATTCCCCTGGCTTGTCCTCTGCAGCCATCCCATCACTGGCTTCGCTGTCCTCCTTACCTGAAGGGACATGCAAACTGGACTCCCACTGTGCATAAGGCATTTGTCAGTCCCAGACTCACCCACCTGCCACCCACCCGTTTCTCTCAGACAGGAAGTGCTCTTCTCTGCCCTTGCCTGTCCTTCCCTGGGTCCCTGGAGACCTAGGAAATGTCCCTGTAGAGGATGTCAGATAACACAGCACCTGGGGGCCACGTGGACAAGCCAACATGGATTGTGTTTCTCTAATCCCCAGCCTCCACCAACACTCTGCCTTCACCTCAGCTCTGTGGTGACATCACAGCCAGCAGTGGCTGCTGGAGGGGTTTCTGCTTGACTGAGGCAAGAGGACTCTGAAGCACATTCATTGGGCACCAAAAGCAACTTCTGAGCAAGAGGAGATACCAGAGAAGAGCAGCCTGCAGGGTCATGCTCCATGTGGGTGGGACAAGGACCAAAGCTCACAGCCAGGCCTGCATCCCTGGCCTGTGGCTTGAGTCATTGCTTTTGGGCTTTGTGGAAGCACAGAATCAATGTTTTACTGAAACAGAGAAACACTGGGCCAAGGGAGGGAATCTGCTAACTCTGAATGCAGTTAAAAAGAACAAAAACATGGAACTGGGAAGCTCATGGGTGCTTCATGGGGAACTGTGGACAGTCAGGGCTATCTACAAGCTCAGGGAACTCCTGGTCACTAAGCCAAGAGAGGAAGCTGGGCTGAGGGTCTTTCTGGGTAAGGTGCAACCTGGTTGAGGGTAGCAACAAACCTCCCTTGTGTTCTTACATGCCCCAGGCAGCCTGGAAAGTAGGTGCATTTTTGGTTTGACCATTAAAGGGCTAGATGCCCCTTATGTGAGAATCAAGTGCATGAAATTACCAGGAGAAGCTTCGAGGCAGGGTGGAGAGGTTTCAGCGGTGGCAGTGGTCGCTCTGCTGGACCTGGTGCCAGTGGTTCTGCTGGTGGTGCTGGAAAAGAGAAAGCTCCAGCTCATCCAGTGGCAGAGCATAGAATCTATAAGTCTGGTGTGCCTCTGATCAGCCCAGGGCCCAAGGCAGGGGTCCCTGAAGGGCCTCAGACATATCCTCTGTCTGTTTCCTTGGGGCACATGCTGTGGTCAGGTCATGTTTTTATGAGTGGCTTTAGCCATCTTCCTGTCCCCTGCCTCTGGTTCCCAGTGGACATGGTCACAGCCCACACAGGTGAGTGTCCCATGTCAGGTGGTCAGGACCAGGGCTCCAATTTGGCCTGGCTCTCTTCAGAGAAAATTGCAGATGAGAGGGGTGGCTGCCACTTCCTGCCAGGCAGACAGAGCAGAATGTGGCAAGAGGGAGGACCAGTGTGACACTCACCTGTGCCTGGCCCTGGCCAGGTGTGCCCGGAGGACAGACTGGATGAAGGTGACAGCTTCCTCCTGCTCTGGGCTGCCCTTGGACTGGGTGATAGGGCTCAGGACAAACGGTGTAGGGGAACCCTGTGGTGTAAGGACGAGTGGAGAGACCTGTTTGACACCTGTGGCCCAGAGTGCCTCCCTAGGACCATCAATGGCCAGGAGGAGCAGCTGCCTTTCATGTGCACCCCATTACTGCTGCATGGTTAGTAGCCTCCTGACTACAGAATTTTGTTTTTAGTCTTTTGGTACCAGGGATTGAACTTGAGACCTTGAGCTTGCTAGGCAGGTGACAGAACCATTGAGCTAAATCCCCGGCCCTGCAGGGTCTTATTTTTTTGAGACAGGATCTTGCTTTGTAGCTCAGGTTGGCCTTGAATTAAGTGTGTGGCCCAGGCTAGCCTTGAACTTGTGGCAATCTTCCTGTCTCAGGCTGGGATTGTAGGCTTGTGCCACCATTCCCAGTAGGTCTTAGGTTTTAAACTCTGGAGAGGTTTTTGTTTTGTTTTGTTTTGTTTTTTTCAGTAACGGGGATTGAATTCAAGGCCTTTGAACTGGGCTACATCTCCAGCCCTTTTTATTTTTAGATGGGATCTCAATAAAGTGCCAAACTGCCCAGGCTGGGCTCAAACTTGCAATTCTCCTGCCTCAGTCTCCTTGAGTGCCGTGATCATAGGTGTGAGCCACCATGTCTGGCATACTCTGGAGACTTTTAACCATCGCACGTGGTTTACTGAGGATGGAACCTTCATGGCAATGTCAATCTCTATCAGCTTTCAGCTTGTCTTCACTGTGAGACAGATGTGAAGTTTGACTCTCCAGACCTCCAAGTGATCCGGCTCTGAAGCTAACCCCAGCCAGTTCTGCAGCAGAACTGGAAGACTGAGGGCCCTAAGCTTTTCCTGGTTGTTGAAACCAAGAGAAGCAGACGAGGAGTGCAGATGAGGCCCATGTGCAGCCCTGGGGGAGTACCTGGTCGGGGCAACCTGGTCGGCTGGGTGGTTCTAGACCATGTGCTCTGCTTGCTAACAGCTTGGCTCGCGTTAGATGTCCCCTGAAAGCTGCCTGGAGCACGACGGCCACCTGGCAGGAAAGGAAGGAGAGGAAGGCACCTGTTAGATTCCCTGGAAGATGCTGGGTAGACACTGAGGGAGTCTGGGGGAAAATCCCTTCCATCCTGTTGCACAGCGATCATCATTAGCCTCTCTGAGCCTTATCTCTCCCACCACAGAACCACCCATGGTGAGAAGGTGCTAGGCCTTGCCACAGAAAAAGGCAGATGCCTGAAGCCCAGCAAGTGGATCCTTGCAATGGAAGTGGATCAGAGGCCAAACACAAGTACACGAGCCCACACTTCACACAGAGGTGTTTTACATTGGGGTAGTTTATTGTGTTTCATCTACTTTCCATCATATGCATCTTTTTTTCTTTTTTTTGGTACTGGGGATCAAACTCAGGTCCTTGTGCTGGCAAGGCAGGTGGCGGAACCACTGAGCTAAATCCCCGGCCATCATATGTATCTTCTAAAATCGTGAGTGATACAGCAAGATCTCTAGAGCAATCTAAGGGAATCATTTATCCTTTGACCTTAATCTTATATGTTTTTCTTGAGAAAATGTGTGAGAAGATTCCCTAAGATCTCTAAGTGATACTCTGTATTTGAGCAGAAGCTTCCTCATGTTTTATTTTCTTTTTAATGGTAGTAAGGGTTGAATCCAAAGTGTCTGTGCTGAGCTACATTCCCAGCCTCTTCTCTAACCCCCAACTGGCTCACCTACCTTTCTTTCTTATGGAGACAGGATCTTGCTATGTAATTCAGGCTGGTCTTGAACTCATGGCAATTCTCTTGCCTTAGCCTCTGAAATGCTAGGACTACAGGCATATGTACCATGCCTAGCTCTCAGCCTAGTTCTAACCTTTTGAGACAGGGTCCCACTAAATTGCTTAGTTTGGCCTAGAATTTATGGTCCTCCTGCCTCACTCTCCCAGAGTATGCACCACCACCCCTAGCTTTAAAAACTCCCATTTTGAATGATCCTGCTTGTTGCCCAAGTTAAAACCATCACGTTTTGGGAGGACTTGCTGACTGAAAACTCTAGGAGAATGGCAAGCACACTGAGCCCTGAGGTATAGAATGTTCAGTAATAACTGTGCGACAATGTGTTTGTTGGTGGCAAGGTAAAGAAGTGTCATCTACACAGGGTAAGAAATACAGCAAAGGAAGGCACAGGGATGAGATCCCATGACAGGCACAGACAGCACTTAGCCTAGCCTGGGAGCTCTGCAGCAAAGGTGCTGTACAAGCTGAAATTAATCCAGCCAAAGCTGTTGGGAAGCATCTCCATGCCTCAGTCGTGCATGCTCAGATTCAGCCCTATAAATGGATCATAGCCAGTCCTGGTGGCTCGTGCCTGTAATTCTAGCTCTAAGGAAGTTGAGAAAGGATTACCGAGAGTTTGAGGCCACCCTGAGTTATACAGTTGAATTCAAGGTAGCTGAACTACTTAGCAAGACCCTGTCTTAAAAGGAAGGAAGGAAAGGAGGGAAGGGGGCCTTAGTATCACCTTTACTTCAGAGAAGTAGAAACTGAGGCTGAGGGAAGGAAGGATAAAGCAGACTGTGAGGACAGCATATGCAGTCTGGCTAGTACCCCCGGACAGTCCCATACACGTTCCCACACTTATTCATTACAAAACACTGCCCAGGTGTTGTGGTGGCACACACCTGTAATTCCATCACTGAGGGAGGCTGAGACACGATAGCCACAAATTCCAGCCCAGCATGGGTATGTTAGCAAGACCCAGTCTCAAAATAACAAACAAAAAGAGAGGTCTGGGGATACAGCTCAGCATGAAGGCTCTGAGTTAAGCCCCCAGTAGAGGGTAGGGAACCCACATACCAAATCACACCATAGGGCAGGCACTACAGAGGAGCACAGTGGTGAAGAGACAGTCCCAGCCTGTAGGGAACCTACATCTCACTGGGAGAGACAGAAGCAACAGTAGTAATACAGTGCAGTGTGTGTGCTGTGAAGCAAGACCAGGACATGGACATGTGGAAGGGTGCTCTGAGAAAGTGATGTTCCAGTGAGGGAACCAGACGTGCCAGCACTCTGGGAGAGCCACCACGACACCAGGGCTGGAGAGTGGCACAGGAACCAGCACACAGGGTAGGAGCAACTTTGGACTTATTCTCAGGTGACAGGAGGACACTACATGGTGGAGGTATCTAATGTTGAAAAGGTCTTCCTGCTGGCTGCATGGGGCAGGTAAAAGGGAAGTGAGCAGATTACCATTATGTCTAGGCAGGAAGTGATGGTGTCCAGATCAGGGAGAACTAACTCAGGAGATGAGGCTGAATGGTGGGCACATTTCAAAGTAGCTCACAGGTTTGCTTGGGTTGTTGGTGGATGTTGGGGAAGAGGAGGCAAGATTTCAATACTTCTGTCCTGGGCAAGTAGATGATGATAGCACCACCTCTGAGGAGCAGGTACAGGATGGAAAATACAACTTCTGGAGCTGGGTGTGGTGCTGCACACCTGTGATCCCAGTACTTGGGAAGCTGAAGCAGGAGGATCACAAGTTCCAGGTCATCCTGGACTACAAAGTGAACTTAAAGCCAGCAAGATCCTTAAAAAAACCAGACAACAACAACAAAAAAAACGAATTCTGCTCTGGAAGTGTCTGGTCTGAGCTGACTTTGCACAATCAGCATAAGGCAGCAGGAAACACGAGTGTGGGGTAATAAAAAAACCAGACAACAACAACAAAAAAAAACGAATTCTGCTCTGGACGTGTCTGGTCTGAGCTGACTTTGCACAATCAGCATAAGGCAGCAGGAAACACGAGTGTGGGGTAGCTGGCCGAGGTCACTGGAGCCTGAACAGGGTAGTGAGGGGTGGAGGAGGAGTCTGCCTCTGGGGAGGTCCTGAAACTGCGGAGGTGCTGTGAGGGGAAGCAGTGGCTGTGTGGTCTGCGGTCATGTCTCATCACCCATGGCAATGTAACCTTTGCCCTGACAGTGGTAGGGCGCTGCCGTTGGAGGCCACTGAAGGAGAGTTCCAGGGTGGGTCCTGGGGCAGCCAGACAGTCCAGAGAAGGTGGAGGCTCGAGGCAAGAAGCACATTCAGTGCTGGGGGTAGCTGTTCTCCACAGGCACAGGGACATCCCATACTAGGCTGCTGGACAAGGGTGGTGAGGAAGGTCTCTCTTGCTTCTATATTTTAAGGTCTTTTAAAAAATTGTGGTGAGGGGCTGAGGATTTGGCTCAGTGGTCTGCCACCTGCCTTGCAAGTGCAAGGGCCCCAGTCTGATCTCTGGCACCAAAAAAAAAAAAAAAGTGGTGAAATACACATCAAGTTTACCATTTAAATTAATTTATAGTGTAATCTGCTGGCAATGATCCCATGGGCTCTGCTGTACAGGTACTGCCATCATCATTCTAGAACTTTCCATCAGCCCAACCAGAATCCCTGCACTGTTGGCTACCATTCACCATCCCCAAGGTCTCCACTCCTGACACAGACTCACATGTGTCTTCTTTGTCACTTGCTCTGGACATGTCACCTCACAGGGCCACACACTATGTGGCCTGATGTTCCAGGGTTCACCTATCTATGTTGCCCTCCTTCCATCTGAGTAGCACCCTGCCGCATGGACAGACCACACTTTCCAGGGCCAGCTTGAGCAACTGTCTCAGCCCCATTGGGTACTCACAGTGGGGAGGAGCAGTGGGGTCACATGGTGACCCCAGGTCCAACTTTCTGAGGAGTGGTCACACTGTGTCGCCCAGCAGTGCTTGTGTCACAGAGCTACCAGGACAGCAGAGGCTCCACTCTCCACACAGCGCCAGGGCCCGCTACTGTCTAATTTCTGATTGTGGCCATCCTAGGGGGAGCTGGCTTCCTGCTACAGCTGGAAGTCACTGGACCGCTCTGTCCCTCAGTGGAGTAAGAAGCATGCTGGTTCAATGGTGGTGGGGCCAAGACTGGCAGAGTTAGGTCCAACGTAGCTGTGTTACCGAGTTGGGTGGTGAACCGGAGAGTGGGCCCTGGGCAGTGCTGAAGGCCACTGTGCCCAGGGCTGCACAATTTTCCTGTCACATTCGGGAGGTAGGGAGAAGGCAGGACAGGATTGGGCTGGGTGGGAATGAGGCACGTGGGGACACAGCAGGATGTGTTCCAGAGACCCTGGGAACTAGGGCCAAGGTCCAGGGGAAGCAACAAGAAAGATGGGGGAAGGTCAGACCGTGGTATCAGAAATGGCAGCTGTAGCTGGGAAAGGACAAGAGGTGCCCATGGGGTGGCTGGCAAGGGGTAGAGACATGACGCAGGGATTGGGAGCTGGGGCGGTTCCTGACTTGGAGGTGAGGACAAGTGGGACAGAGAAGTAGGGATCGTCACAAAGGGTGGTGTAGCAGGACTGGATGGCAGAGGGAACTCACACCACCATGACATGGGTATGTACCGCCAAAGCCCACAGCCTGGGGCCCTGCTGTTCCACATCTGCCTTATTATAAGTCTGTGACCATGTCCCACTGTCCTTATTAGCTTGTCCAGGCCCTGCACTATAAGGGAGCCTGCCAAGCTGAAGATGAGGGACCAACTTAGACCCTGAGGCAGAGCATTGGGAAGACAGAGTGGGAAGGGGCTCCCAGGCAGGAGGAAGCCAGTACCCAGTGCTAGAAACTATGGTCTTCCAAATATGCTGCAGCCTGGGGATGCCAAGAGAAGTGTTAAAATAGTGGAGAAGGCCCAAGACTTGAGTAAGACATAATAAGGTTTTAGTTTTCAGCACCTCACTGACAAAGGCCCGTAGCTCAGGACCAGGCTACTCCTCAGCTATTCTTAATGCCCCAGCTGCCACTGCTCCACCTCCCTCTCTGTCCTCACCCCTGCTCCCACCTGACACACAGCCTGCACTTCTCTGGGAGGTCACCTTCCTCACAGGGTGGGGGCACCCAGCACCAGTGTCCTACTCCAGCTCCACCTGAGCTCTACCCGCTCCCTTGAGCTATGCTGTGTGTGGTGGTTAGCACCTTGTCCTTCAGCCGATCAGACTGTTTATGCAGAAATTACATGGGTGCACATGTGTTGAAAGAATGAATAAAATGAATGTTAGAAGTGCAAAGTAATTCTAATATTTATTTGATGTTTCTATTATTTATTCATTTTAAACGTAATGTTGGGGGTTTGCTTTGATTTCCTGAGAATTAGGGCTTAATAATGCATCTTTAATATGCCAACAGTTTCTTTACTCCAGAGTTAAAACAGAGACTTGGAAATTGGTGAAATTAACCTTGCTTACCTCATCCATGGCAGCCTTTTTTTTCTGAAATAAAGAAATAAAAAATGAATTAATATGACAGGAATGAATTATTCACAGTAGTTTTCATTCCTTGACCTTGTCCTGACAGGAGACAGCCAAGTTGCTCTTTCATAGACCCAGTGGCCCAGGGCTGGTGAGAGGGAGGCACAGGGCTGCCCCACACTCTTGTGCCAGGTGAGAGGGCTCCCATGTCCAGATTCAGAATATCTGAATGCTAAAAAGAATAAAGACATATTTTAAAATATTGAGTCTGTAACTCGAGAGAGACACACACACATACCCAGAGACACAGAGAGAGAGAGAGAGAGAGAAAGAGACAGAGAGAGAGAGGGAGGGAGGGAGGGAAAGAGGGAGAACAAATGTATGAATTATTTGCTCTGCTGGAAGTGACTATCAGAACAATTTCTTACTCTGAAACCAGGGAAGTAATTAAGTACTTCCCTATGTTATAAGATGGACCTAGGCTTATGTTCACTGATGAGAAAATGGTTTTACAAAGGGAATGTGGTGTTATGTAGGATAGAACTGGGGAAAAGCTGCCATTCTGCCCTTCTGTGTCTGGAAGAAGGAGAAGGTCTGAGCCCCCTGGATGCTGAGCTGGCATGTGAGGGGTATACTTTTATTTTGTTATTTTTTTGAGACGGTCTCATTAAGTCACTAAGTTACCCAAGCTGGACTCGAATGTATGACCCTTCAGCCTCCTGTTAAGAGTACTGACCTCATTTGTGTTTCGAGTCAATGTGATAAAATTAGCCACACTTACAAGGTGCTTATGCTAGAAACCTTAAACCACTCAGTGGAATCAAACCTGGAGACCTGATTTCTCATTTACAGGAAATGGAGGGGATAGAAGAGTAAGTTAAATGACACCAAAAGGAAACATCCTAGTAGGTGTATCCTATGAAGTATCAGCATACTCTCTTCAAAAAGAAAATATCTAAAAAGAAAAAGAGAGTGGGGGCTGCTGGAACCACAGGAAGGACACTCAACTAGCAAGCTCAAGGCTTTGCTGGGCAGGACCCCACTCCGATCTCAGCAGGTAAATGTCCTTTTTATTCAAAGAAATATGGTTAAGTACTATTATTGAATTGAGGTAATGACAAGTAGAATATAGTGCTGAATATACTAAGTTCTTTGAACTTTTCCATTAATTTTGAAAATCTTTATAATAAAATCTAAGAAGAATCAACGATGGGGGGGCAGTGCTAAAGATCAAACCCCAGGGCACTTACCACTGAGCTATAGTCCCCAGCCCTTTTTTATTTTTTGAGACAGGGTCTTGCTAAATTGCTAAGTGAGCAGGACTTGAACTTGACATCCCTGTGCCTCAGCCTCCCTTGGTGCTGATATTACAGCTGTGCCACCACACCTGCCTGATTTTACTACCCCCCACCCCATGGCAACCTGCTGGAGCTGAGCTCTTACACAATGCAGACAAGTAGAGAATGCCATCATTTTTGTTTTCAACTAGGGGGAAAAGGTGGTGACTGTTTAAATACTGAGTAGATTTTAGAGCCTTTGGCTCACCTAAGGGACTCTGTGGCCCTTTGAAAACCAAAGTCTCAGCAACACACATCCCACAGGAGAGCCACCCCAGGAGCTCAAAAGGAAACTCTGTTCCTCTGTCACCTCAGTCACACACAGAGAGGCCTGGTGAAGAGTTATAGCCGGAGGCCTGTCAGGTGGACCTTTCCATGAGATGGGCCTGTGAGTGGCTGTTACTGTGAGCCCTTGGAAAAGGGCTGGCCACACCGAGCACTCCTGTGCACCTGTATTCAGGGCTGCAGTTAGCCTCTTTACCACCCAACCAGGTTTGTGAGCCATTTGCTATAGGGCCCAAGGGTGGGCCAGGTTGCTCAGAGGGGCTTCGAGATGGAAAGGTACCCCTTTGTCCTCTCCTTTGCTTTCCTGACCATGCCATATGCCATACAGCCTCAGCAATGGCCCAGGACTGGAGCTGGCAACAGAAGGCAAGTGTTGGTGATGGACGCACTGCTTTCTCAGTGGACACATGACCAGGGGAGGCACTGGCCTCCTTGGGAAGCTCACCGCAAGCGCCCGGGCCTTCCAGTGGGCCTGTAGGGTCCTGGCAGCTGCCTCTCTCCTCCTGTCAGTGCTGGTGGGTGACCAGGAGCTGCCTTCTTCCTTGGAATTGGAGTCCCGCTGAGAGGCTATGCTGCCTGGAGGGGGCGTGCAGCGTGCTCCATGAGCCTGCAGGAAATTGCAGGTATAAGCGGGGCAGAGACTGGGGTCAGGCAATGGTATGTGCTGGCCACACCTGTCAGAGGACACTGTGCACTTACATGCTTGCCCACTGTGCCACCTGGCTAGAGCTGCAGTAAGCAGGCCAGACCCTCCCAGCACAGATAGCAATCTCCTGTACTATAGTGTCCACTGGAGGGCCACACACGCATCCTTGTCCCAACACAACACTCAAGACTTGCCTGTCTCCTGTGGTCTTTTCTTGGGTCTATTAAAAGTTTAATATTATATCATGAAAGTGGGATTTCTAGGATGAAAGGCAAAATATTTCTAGCTTTTTTTTTTTTTTTTGGTACTAGGGATTTAACTCAGGACCTTACACTTGCAAGGCTTTTTTTTTTTCTTTTTCTTTTTGTAATACCCTATTAGATACTGAACCTAGGGTTTTGGGCATGGTAGGCAATTGCTTTACCACCAAGCTACACCCCCAACACTTTTAATTTTTTTTCTTTTTAGTTTAGACAGGGTCTTACAAATTGTCTGGACTGGCCTTGAACTAGATCCTCTGGCCTCAGCCTCCTGAATAGCTGCAATTACAGGCATGTGCCTAGTTTAACGTTTTGTTTTTGTGACAAGGTCTCACATGCAGTTCAGGCTAACCCTGACCATGTAGTCTAGGCTGGCCTCAAACTCATGACAATCCTCCCTCAGCCTACCAATGCTGGGATTACAGGTGTGCACCACCATGCCTGGCTCTAGCTTTGTTTGTAAGGTAGAAAAAAAAAGAGCAGGAATTCCTATTGTGATCATTGAAATACCATTGATTTCTACAACTTATGAGTCCAAATTTATTACTACAAGGACACTTTTCAAAAACTACTGGCAAGCTCAGTAGGGATGGCATGTCGCTGTAGAAAGTCTGGGGGTCGGGGTGTGGAACCACCAGCAGCCCACATCACAAGTGCCCTGGCTCAGGGGGACAGCTGTGCCTGGAAGAGTAGGTCAGTCAGTGTAGACACCAAGTTTTTCCTGCATATGAGGATGCTGTGACATCTGGGGCCTTGCTGACCCTGGAAAGATGGCCCCTCCCAGGGCTGCCCACTTCTTAGAGATGGCAATGGCTCCCCCACCATAAGAAGCCTTCCATATACATCCACCAAGCTCCATACTATCCCACCCAGCAACTCTGTAACCCATAACCAAGCTAGTGTCCTCTGCCCTCAATCACCCAGGGCCAGGTACCTGGTGCAGAGCCCAGCAGAACTGTTTAGATCGGTCAGTCTGTAGCCCACTCACCCACATACTCTGCCTTGCCTGGGCATGTCCACAGCAAAAGCCCTGGCCTTGCTCTCCCCACAATCCCCCCACCCCAGCTGCTCTTGCTTCTGATGGTACATGAGGATGGGTGTGTCCCTTGTGATACTTGTATCTCTGCATGTGGGTCTTACCCTGATTGGACACACCCTGGGTACACTCAGCATGGTAAGCTGTCATATGGCTCCTCAGTGATCCCTAAGTGACCTGTGTCCATGTGCTGATACAAAGCCACCTCATCCCGACTGTCACCCCAGCAGGGCTTCATCGTGTGGCTGAAGGCTAACACATTTTCATTCCACTAAAGTGAGATGGGAATCTGTCACATGAGACCTATGCTTTTGTGACCAAAAAAGGTACAATCAAGTGCTTAGAAAATAGAGGAGCACTGACTCTAATATCTCCTAGAAGATAGTTAAAACAAAATCTAACTTTGATTTGCATATAAATTCCCTGATCTGGTGTCAGAAGTGCTACTGTTGCACCATGAGGCTGGTCATTTTCAGACATATTTCTATGTATTTATTTTTTAAAAAATGAAATTGACGTTTGGGGGGTGGGGTGAGGGGACTGTTTCCACTTCTCCATGTCACTGCTCTCAGCATTGGCTGTCTAGCACTCTACCAGCAGGGACTCGACCACAGGTCACTGAGCTACATGCCACGACTGTTCCTGAATTTGTAGCTATTTCTCAGACAAGACTGTGGTGACCTCCCATGGCAGATTCTGCAGAGCACAGGCACTGTGTGTGACCCTGGTCTGTGTTCCCATCATGCACAGGGACACGGAACCCCAAGGCCTTATAAGGAAGATGCTAAAATAAAAATATTGAGCAAAATCTCCAGCAGCCTCGGTGAGGGACATAGTTCCTGGAGAAGGTGACTGTTTGGGGGTCTTCCTGACATGGCCTGAATTGAGGTAATGGAGATTTAAACCCCAAATTACTGAAATTCACACCAAAAGCAGCCAACACTTGAGTAAAGATCCCCAAACCAGTGACTCATGAGCTGACTCTCCTGAGGTGGTCACACGAGTCAGCAGGGACACAACCCATTCTGGGCCATTTCTGGATTTTATCTGCATCCAACTTGGGGATGGGGAGGAAGTCAGTGCTTCACACCAAGATGGTTGTACAATAAGACAAATATGCTCCCCTTATTTATTTTTTTGCACCTAGGATCAAACTCCATTGTAATTGAAAGGCAGGTGCAGTGTCACTGAGCTAAATCCCCAGCCCACCGCCTTGCTCTTTCTGTGGGCCAGTAAAACCCCCTTGAATGGGCAAAAGACAGGCAGGAATCCTCGCCAGCCAGGTAGATGCCACAAAGTCTTCTCAATTCTGAGGTATGTGGAGATATGGAAATCATATCCCGCTAAGGATATGATTTTTTTCCTTAAAAATAAGCAGAAGGTGCCCCCAAGGAACACTAGGTGTTTTTATTGCTGAGCACTACATAGGGGTCAGGATTTCAGAAACAGCCAGGCAACAAGTCAGTAAGCCCTGTGGACTCCCCAGTCCCTGAGAACATCCCACTTGAGAAAAAAATATTTCGCTAATGCCCTGAAAGTGATGTGGATCGGGAGAGGACACTTAAATCTGCTTGTCACCCACAATGCCATAGGCACATTGCCACAGGCAAGATCAAGTGCCCAGCAGCTCACCTGGCTGTATTCTTTGGGCAGCAGTGTGTACATCCAGGTGAGCAGGATAAAAAGTGATGTCATATGGAGACTGGCAGATTCCTTGGAGTGGGGACCGTGATTCTGTCATTTATAGAAGTGGTCCCCAACCTTTGCTACCAGAAATTGGTTTCATGGAAGACAATTTTTCTATGGAAGGGGTGGGGGTAGGGGGTAGTTTGGGGATGATTCAAACACACTGCATTTATTGTGCATTTTGTTTCTATTATTACATTGTACACCTTATTTCCTTTATTATATGAGTTCTTCATTAGAGCACACAACCTAGATCCCTTGCAATTGATAGTAGGGTTCTTGCTCCTATGAGAATCTAATGCTGCCCCTGATGTGACGGGAGGTGGAGTTCAGGTTGTAAACACAGATGAAGCTTCCCTGGCTCTCTGGGCAGCCTGCCACCCATCACCTACTGTGCAGCCCAGTTCCCCAGGGTTGGGGACCTCTGACTTAAAGCATTACCCAAAATGCTGAGAAATCATTACAGAAACACACCCTTGGGTGTGTGACAGAAACACAGTCCAGAGGACAGGAGTCCCTGAGCAGCAGCAGCATCTTCCAGAAGGGACCGAGAGGGATGCACTCACAACTGCCAGCCAGGCACACGGCCTTCACTGTGCACAGAGACCACGGGCTTTCCCCCAAGTCTCTATAACTGAAATTGTGAGACCAGCTTTTCCAAGTTCCCTAACCTTCAGTTTTTCTTTTGTTCTTTTCAAGAGTTTTCAAAGAGATTTTCAAATTAGTATCTAGCTAAGTAAACTAGCCTTGAAAGAGGAAGCTAGCCCAGATTTAAAACAAAATCCTCTTCTGTCAAAGCTCCAGTAAGGAACTTGGCCCCATAGCCCAACGGCCTGTTTTCTGGAGGCCAAGGGTAACCTTCATTGTCCTCCCCTGCATGCCAGGTCCTTCCAAAGCAACACATCACAGGTTGGGCTCAGTCCAGGTCTGCTCAGACCATGGTGGCAGGAGGTCTTGGAGAAGGGGCCACGAGAGCTGCTATGAGGGCCAGTCACTGTATCATGGATGCTCAGTAACCCTCCCAGGCTTAACTGGTTTCTTCTACAGCACACTCGAGAGACAGTCCTCTTGGGGCAAACACTGGCCATAGGATTTAAGCAGCTTGGTTATTCGCCTTCATTTGTTTAGATGTCAGATCATACCTGCCAGCTGAAGAGTCTATTCATTAGAAGAGAGACTATTGAGAAGGTGTTGAACAAAAGTTCAAGTGTAGGCAACACTGGGCTATATCAGGGATACTGGCGGGCAGAGAAGAGCCAGGGGACCCTCATGGCCACCAAAGCCTCACACCTCAGTGCAGCCACCTCCCATGGCCTCCAACTACACAGAGGAGAAGAAGGGCAGCTACCAGGTCCACAATGCACAAGCTATAGCTTGAGGACAAGCCTGGAGGAGACTGCCCTGCTCCACCTGAGAGCACACATCTGCCCAGGGTGGCTGTGGGGCCTCTGTGGGCCTCTGTGGGTTTCTGCTCCCTCTGCCTGGTCTCCCTGTCCTCCAGGGCAGACAGCTGGGGAGGTGTCCCACCTGACACAGCCTAGGAAGCTAGTCAACAGCTCCAGACTTCCACATATCCCACCTGAGTCAAAGAAATGTGACAATGACAGGAGACTGGGCTGTCACCTTCAGGTCAGGAGGAGCACCGTGCCCAACAGATGAGGCAGCACAACAACATACCTCTAGGGAACAACTGCTTGCAACCTTCTCTTCTTTCTTGGATTCTTCTAGCTCTTGGCACTTGCTGATAAGTGTTTGGATTTCCTGTCTAAAATAGGAAGGGAAAAGATGACACCTTGCTTGTCACTGGGCGAGGAATAGCCATTGCAAGGTAGGATGGACATCCCCGTGCAGGCAGACACTGGATAGGCTGCAGAGGGCCACCTCCCTGGCAGAGGCACCAGTAACCTGCTGTAGGATGGTGCCCCTGGAAGCAGGGCTGAGGATTGCAGGGCCAGCACCATGCTGGACACATTGTCAGAGCCCGAAAAATAGTCACGGTATATAGCATGTGCAAGGTGTTGGGTTCAATCTCCAGCACTGTAAAAAAACCAACCAAACAGAAAAAGCCATTGCACAAATGATGGTGGTATCACGTGGAGGTTTTCTACTGCTGGGATGGAACTCAGGCTCTCTGCCTGCTAGGCATACCACCTCCACAGAGCCATGCCTCAGCCCTCCACGGGAGTGGAAGGAATTGCAACACATGGCCTTAAAAGGATTCCAATGTAAAAACCACTTATTTCTATACAGCTGACATTTCTGATTTACTTTAATTAGAACCTCTGAGAAAATTTAGTCATGGTTCCAAAAAATGATAATAAAATGTTTTCTATTCATTCCAGTCATCTGTATCTTACTAATTATTTTTTAAATACTTCTGTTCAGATTTTTATTTACATTTTAAAATGTGAGGTGAGGTAAAATTCACAATATAAAATTTGTTATCTTAAGTTGGGGCTGTGTTTCAGGGGTAGATCATTAAATGCCTAGCATGCACAAGGCCCTGGCTCTGATCCCTAACACCACAAAAACACAAAAACAAAAATGCTGTTTTAAAATGTATAATCTGGTAATCTTTAGTATATTTACAGTGATGCAAACACATGAACACTCCTAGCATCCCCTGTCCCTCCAGCCAGCCCCTGGATCTGCCTACCCTGTATGTTTCCCACACATGTCCGAAGCTGTGTGGCCCACCTAGCCTCTTTCTCTGAGCACAGTGTTGCCTTCCTTGTCCTTTGTGTGGGTGACCTCAGGCTGCTCATTCATTCCCTAGTGGATGGACACAGGGGGTGCTGCTCTTCCTGGCTCTGTTGACCACTGCTATCAGGGATTAGAGGTGTGAAGTCTGTCTAGGGGAGTTCATGGCAGAGTGGGAGCACAGGGTGCACGTGGAGGTGGCCACAATACCACAAAGGCAAACACTGGCTTATACAGAAGAGCTTTCTCCAGGGTTTGGCTTTGTATCCCAGAGGCAGAAGAACCCACTGAAAGATCTCAGGAAGAGGCATGGTCTCTATCAAACTCTCTCCTGCAGCTATGGCAGGAGGGTGGCCAGGAGGCAGGGAGGGTCTGGGTTGTGTGGCTCCTCTGCTGTTTGGTACTCACTTCAAGGCCTGCTCTTGTTCCTGATGCTCCTTCTGAGCTTCCCTTGCACTCTCCAGCTCCTTCTCCAGCTCAGCTTTGGCCTGCAGCAACTGCCTCACTTCTTTACTAAATGCACAGAACCAGACATTTCAGCACCGTTAGAACCAAAGACTGTCAGGGCAGGAAGACTCTTCAGAACACAATAGCGCTTGACTTCCTTCCTCAGGACAGTGGACAGAGGGCAAGTAGGTCATAGGAGCAACCCCAAGATCCTGATGGTACACAGATACCACTGTGCATGAGGGCCTGTCAGGGCTGGGAACTGTGGGGGTATACTAGCAATGAGGCCTGTGAGCTGGGGACATAGGATGCAGGGGGCAGTTCAGGTCACTAGCACCTGTAGTCCCCAATCCCCAGTCAGCGCCTGATGGGCTGATGCTCCTGCCTTTGCAGATCAGTCTGTACTCACTGCGGTCTTGCAGACCTGAGATTAAACAATGTCCCAGAGGATGTGTGGGTTAGCTTACTATAAAGCTGGGACTAGAGAAGCCATAAGCAAGCAGGGGCCAGGTCGTGTGCTAAGTTGTTAACAGATCATGAAACTACAGAACATGTAGTGGGGTCTGCCTCCAACTCAGGGTCACACGAGCATTTCAAACCATTTATGTCTCGTTCGATGTACAAATCATATGCCATCAACATAATAGTGAATGATAAGTCCACTCTGGCTAAGATCGAATTGATTTTAGACAAAGTCATGGCAGTAAATCCCCCTTAAGAAACAATTTGGAAATTCCTCTGGAACTCTATGTAGAGATTTTCATGGTACTCTCCCACCTACCTCCTCTCTTTTAATGATGAAATATGGCCACTTACTATATCTTTTCACCACTATGGCAACCTTTATTCCACAACATAAATCTAACAAGTGTACAGGAAGCAATAAAAAATATAGTGAATGTTTAAATTGTAAAAACATTTGTTACAGTAAAAGACACATTGCCATTAATCCCCCTTAAAAACCTCCCCTTCCTTTGAACACATGTATTCCATTGTCCTTGCCACTTCCTGAAGCAGTACTGGAAGTCTTTCATGAGTGCCTTTAAGAGGTGTGATAAAAAATGTGGTCAGTACTGCTGTTGGGTGCCATCCAATGGAAAGGCAGGCTCATAAAAACATGACAGCACACCCTCATCTACCTTATTCAGCAGATCTAGCACTGTGTGACGCCCCCCAAGTCAACATGATCAAAAGGTAAACATCTTCAATCAATTCAGGACAACAAGGCAGCCATGACTAAAGCACTATTGCAAAACTGCCTAAGAAAGTAGCAAGAATGATGAGATGAGTGTGTTTAAAGAGAGGGAAAATAGGCTGGGAATTTAGCTCAGTGGTTCTGCAGCCTGCCTTACAAGCAGTAGGTCCTGAGTTCGACCCCCAGTACCAAAAAAAAAAAAAAAAAAAAAAAAGAAAGAGAGAGGAAGAATATTTTGATGGGGGACTCATGGTAATATGTCTTTCACAGCAATAAATTAAAAAAAATTAAATACACACTGTATTTTTTAATCACATTTCGTAAAGTCCTATAAAGCATTTATGCAGTAATTACTACAGAGCATTTCCTCACATCTAGGACAGCAGTTTAGCCCTGGACACAGCAGTACCTAGGTACCTACTCTTTTTCCAACAGCTGGGCCTGTAGCTTGCTCCGCTCTTCCCTCAGGCTCTTCACTGTCCCCTGAAGGTGCTCCTGTTCCTCCTGCCCATCCCTTCCCAGTTGCTTGGGAGCCGGGCCATTGGGATTTGACTTGACCAGCTCTGAAGTGTACGATTTTGAGCTTGCCACTGAATTTAGTTTCTGGAGGCAACACACAGGTATTCATTAGATGTTATTCTTATTTTTACATTCCATTTGTGAAAACCAGAATAGAGACCAGGGAAAACTAGTTTCCAGCCTCTATAGCTTGCCATATGACCTGAGTCAGCTGGCACCATCTACTGCATGGGCACAAATACCAGCAGTGTGGAATCAGAAGTAAGAGAGCAAGACCCAGGCCCAGGGGGCAGGGCAGGGTGGAGGAGCCACTGACACAGTAAGGAAACATGCAGCACAGGGTCTGGTGGGTCCATCCTGTGTGCTCATTTGCCTTCAGTTCCCTACAGCTTCTGAAACTTACAACCTTATGCTTTCTACCTTAAACTGTTCCCATTCTGCCAACAAAGTAACTGGCTGAAGCAGCTCTCTCAGGGCATTTCTGGACCTGCTCTGGATCCCTTAGCATCTAGCAAGCTTTGCTTGTCAAACACTTGCTGTGTACAGAAAACTTTCGTTTTTTACTTTGTAAATAAGCGAACTTATTTAAAATACTATCCCTGGGGCTTGTTCTGCTAAAAGAGAGTTGGTTTAGCTCATTACTCCAGCGAGAAGGACTGGTTCCAGCAGAACCAGTTTCAGCAAGATCAGAAGTCTCATTCCACCTGGGGATGGGAGGAAACTAACTCCCCAAATGCTCTGGTCAGCAGAGTGGGAGGACAGCTCTCTGTGAATTACACAAGTGGGGAGGAGTCTGGGCAGTGAAACACTCAAGGTCTGCACAGCCACCCACAGCTGCATGCAGAACTCCCACGACGTGTGCTGTGTGACTCAGGCTTGGCTATCTATAAAGTGGGGGTTGTGAATGGCACACCCCTTGGATCCTATCCAGGCCTGGAAGGCCTATTCTTCTAGGGGTGTACTTTGTATTATTTGCTGAACAGCTGCTATCTACCTGTTTGGTGTGCCCGTGTCCCTCTGAGTGTGTCCCTGACCAGATCAGATAGGTAAGTCCGGAGTGACAGGTGACAGAGATGCCCACTCACCTTTTCCAGCTCTGCAATGCGTCTCAGCAGCCGGGGCTTGCTCCAGTCCAAGTAACCTAAGGGAAACAATAGGTCTGCACAGTGCCCATCTGGAGGGCACCCCACGGCCCAAACCACCATTCTCAGAACCAGCCTGATGGTGCCCCCTTGCACAGACTGTCAGCAAAGCCACAAGGCCATGCTGGGCAGATGCTTGACACCTGAGGGGTTTCTGCAGCACCAGGTGATTTCTTTATTCTCCGTGGCGGTGAAGAGTCACTGATGTGACATATTTGGGTGACACCCTTTCCTGATTTTACCCCCATCAGGTTTTGAACCCTCCAGAACATAATTCTATTGCTGTCGATGTCATGGGTGACTTTCACCTTACCAAGCCCACAGCCTGTTTATCAGTCTCAGGCCTCTGCTTGGCTCTTGTGGCCCTTTGCTGGCCATTGCCCACTCTGTTTTGTGGGCTCACCCTTACCCCTCAACCTTCTGGACACCCCTGGTTTGGCCTCCCTGCTCCTTTCCCTGGTCACACAACCCAGCAACCTCACTGGGTTCCAGCACGTCCAGCTCTGCAGCCCAGGTCTCTGCCTGTCTACCCCTCCACTCGCTCAGGCTGCCCTGCCGCTCCTCTCCACCCTCACCCTCATCACAATAGTGCTCCCTTTCTGCCCAGGGCATCCCCAAGGAGCCAGAGCCCTGCTACCAAGCCCACAGCCTGTTTATCAGTCTCAGGCCTCTGCTTGGCTCTTGTGGCCCTTTGCTGGCCATTGCCCACTCTGCTTTGTGGGCTCACCCTTACCCCTCAACCTTCTGGACACCCCTGGGTTTGGCCTCCCTGCTCCTTTCCCTGGTCACACAACCCAGCAACCTCACTGGGTTCCAGCACGTCCAGCTCTGCAGCCCAGGTCTCTGCCTGTCTACCCCTCCACTCGCTCAGGCTGCCCTGCCGCTCCTCTCCACCCTCACCCTCATCACAATAGTGCTCCCTTTCTGCCCAGGGCATCCCCAAGGAGCCAGAGCCCTGCTCAGCTGCCCCCCAGCCAGTGCCACTCCCAGGGCCGACCTGAAGAGCCACACCAGCCTCCACTCTGGGCTTCTATACTCGCTGCTGCCTCAATACCCTAGCTGCCTACTTGCTGGCCTTGGCCCCTTATGGGTCATGTCCAGCTATCACCGACGCAGGGAAGCCTGCCCCAGCCCTGTCTGTGACAGAAATGCACTGCCACCTGCCCTCCCCCACCTTTCCCTGGGGGACTTACTAATGCTCTTCTCCCACCCCACAGCAGCACACCCCAGGCACGCTTGCACTTTCACTCTTTGCTAAAGCTCCAGGGCCTAGAACTGATCTGCAGGCATCCGTGCTTGTTGCCCTTTGGAGCTAATGGACTGTTGCCTAATGGGATACACCTGCCATGAGGCACGGGCACTCAGGGCTTTGCAGCTGCAGCGAAGAAGAGCAGCCGACACACCCACTGTACTGGCTGGCACGGCCTGCCCAGGACTCCCCTGGGGCACCACCCTGCGTCTTCCCAGGCTGAGTTTTTCTGGGGAAGATACCCTTCACTCTGGTGATGGTCGGGGAGTTGCTGAGTACACGGTCCAGGTCCTCCTTCAAGCTCTGGTTCTCTTCGGTCAGCTCCTGAACACTTCGGGACAGGTTCAGGAGGGCACTGCTCATCTTCTTCTGCCTCCTCACACCCACCTTCTTCTCCACCAGTGGAGGCCTTAGAACAAAGAGGGCTGAGCTAGAGATTTCTACACCAGCTCACTGAATGTCTCAAATGAAGAGCAGGTGAATCTGGCTGTGAATGCACAGCGATTTTTGCAGATGTATAGTAGGGAAACACTAACTCTGAACCCCAAGTCAGCAAAATTTAATCTATAATAGGATTCTATTCTCATCATTAGAAACCTGTATAACAAAATGTAGTACTCATCTATTAGTATCATATTTTAGGTGCCATCACTAAAATTTTATGCAAACTTATTTCTTTCATTATGCAAATATTGGTGTAATAGCTTTGACTTTGGCTCTTATCCCATAAAGTCTAAAATATAGGCAGTCTTCATTATCTGGAGAACTGTATGAATTTGCCAATTTGCCCACTCCTTAAGATTTATCTGTAAACCCAAATCAATACTCATGGGTGTCCAGGGAACCCACACATGTGCAAATGTGTGCAGGGTGAAAATCTGAGTCACTACATGCACACTCCCTGCTGAGGCCACACACAGCCATGCTGTCTTCTGGCTTCAGCTCTCAGACTCTAAACATGTGTCCTTTTTTTGGTAGTCCACTTAGTGCAAAAACTGTGACATCATCTTCCAGGCTTCATTTAAACTCTATTCAAGCAAACATGAGGCTTAACCATATTTACTATCTGGCCCCTTCTAACCTGTTTTAAGCCACGAGGGGTAAAGGAAAAAAGGAAGACCAAGCCAGGCAGCATGGACTGCAAGTGCCAGCGGCTTGCTGCAGAGACCAGAGGCATGGCCCCTATGAAAGGGGCCATTCTCCCATAATTTAATGAAAGTCTGTTTCATTACATTGTTTGAAAAAGGATGGGGAAATCTATGTGATAAGGAGAACCTTGGTGCCTCTAACAAACTTGTCTGGGAAAAGTTTAAGTAGCAAAGTGGATTTGTAATACACATCTTCCTGGCAAGGTAGATCTGGGTCGAAAGCCAGCATTTCCAGGCCTGAGCTGGAAGGTGCTGTGCAACAGGAGTAAAACCATATACAGTAATGAGTATGTGGCAGTTATGAGGGGTTATGAGTGCAGACAAGACTCCACCCATCCGCACACAGGTGTGGTGCTGGCTCTGCAGCCATGTGAGAGCAGGAGATGCCCTTCCCGAGTGGGATGAAGGTACCCTGACTTCAGTCGCTCAGTAACACAAGGACAACACGGTACCAAACAGGAGCATACTTCTTTCCTGTGGCTTCTGAACTTGCCAAGAGCGCCTGGAGACGATGGATCTGCAAATACGAAAGCATTAAAAAAAAAAAAAAGGCAAAAAACCCCAAATGAACAAAAAAGAAAGCATTAACATACAAATGAATGTGGCAGTGGTCTTGCCCTGTGAGCTGTAGGCAGAGTTCCAATCCCTTGACCACAGCAGGACTCAGAACCAAACTGTACCATGAACACTGGTGCAGGCTCACCGGCCTCAGTTCATCCCCAGACAGGAGGCAGGCTTACCTTTCATGCCCCAGTCACCCATCCCTCCACACACACCTCCTCATAGTAGGTCTCCATGGCAATCCTCATCTCCTCCAGGTTGGTGGTCTTCACGTCCGTCTGCAGTTTGCTGGGGATGCAGATTCAGAATGAGCAGGGCAATGCCAACGTGGCCAGGGGAGAGCTATAGAAAGCAAGATTCCCAGAACAGCCAAGCAGGGATGGCTTTGGAAGATGACCCAGAGGGAAAGGAATGAATGGCTTGTTTCCAGACTGAGCGGGGGATCCTTCACACCAGAAAATGTTCCTCCTGGGTGAGACCAGCCACTTCCCAAGACTCCATAAAGATGTTCCTATCCAAAGAAGACCCTACTTTTAAAAACTTGGATGAACAGTGCAGCCTGACCTCAGGGTTTGGGGAGAAGACATCATCTTTGGTGAGTGCGTGGAGAGAATAACTAGTTTATGAAGAGAATCACTGTCTCTCTTCAACCTGTCACTGTGTCACCTTCTTCTCTGCATACCACAGGCTTTAGGCAAAAGGCACTGAGAAGAAAGAAGAGCTTGGCACTGTGAAACACTCAATGAATTAGCAAATAACCACAAATACTTTAAGTTGCCAAACTTCACCAAGAAACAAATGGGTGGGGAAACTTGTGTAAAAGATATGAAGTACAGACAGGTTTTCCTTAAATAAACTTAAGTATGGCCAAAAAAGACTAGCTTTGCATTAATAAGACAGGTATGGACAGATGGGTAAAATATGGGGAACTTCACTAAAGCAATAAAGAGGCAGCCAAGGGCAATGTGAGCAGCAAGGGGTTGCATCAAGACCTAGAAAATTCACAAGGGAAATACAAAGTGGCCTAAGGGGAAAAGGATTCCTTAAATATAACAAGAAAAAGGTAAAGAGAAATACTATTCCCTAATGACATTTAGAGAAAATGCAAATTAAAAACAGGAGAGAGATAGACACAGACACACAAAAAGGTATTAATACTTTCCTTCACTATGGGTGGGAACAGGGACATCAGAGACAGAGGGTGGCATAGGAGAAGCAGAGGTGGGACAAGCACCAACCAGAAAGGGGGAAATTAACTCAGAAGAGCAGCTGGTTCCAGCTGGCCTGGGCCCGAAACCCTCCCGCTGAGGGCCCGGCAGCGGCTCCGTACTTGATGGCACTGTCCTTCTCCTTGCACTGCTGCTCTAGCCGGAAGATCCTTTGTCTCAGCCCGTTGATGACCTACCACAGAAGGCCACCACCTCAGCCACCTTTGCCCAGGCCCCGCAGCCCTCTGTACTTCTTCCCTACAGGGCCCTCTGCAGATCCCATCCTTCCCTCCTTAGCTACCTGCTACCTTCTCTTCCAGGCCACAGCCCAAGGATGACTGAGAGGCTGGGACTTGCTCACTAAAGGCATGAGGCTGAGTGAGGGGCAAGTGGGTCAGGACACCCTGCTGGGACAGGAGGGCAGTGACCAACAGTACCCCGAGGCACATGGACATTCAGAAGAACAAGCAGGACCTGCCCTCATTTGTTTCAAATAAAGGAAGCTACCAAAAACTTAGAAATAAAAACCACTGACTTCAATGCCCGCCCCACCCCCAGCACAATTCGTCTGTCTCCATTTGGGATTTCAGGACTGACAGAGCAGAGACCTGAAGGGGCGCCCTAAGCCTACCTCCATGGGAAGAAAGGGCCATTCCCCAGGCTCATTCCTTCCTTTATCCTTTCGGAAGATCACACACACCCTAATGTCCCTTAAACAGTATCTTTTTCTTTTGAGTATATAATTTTTTTGGAAGTACTGAGCTACATCCCCAGCCCTTTCTTATTTTTATTTTGAAGGTCTCAGTTGCTAACTTGCTTAGGCGGGATGTAAACTTGTGATTCTCTTGCCTTCCAGGGTACATGCACCACCACATCCAGCTAGATTGTTTTTTTTTTTGGTACTGGGGATCGAACTCAGGTCCTTGTGCTTGCAAGGCAGGCCACTGAATTGCTGAGCTAAATCCCCGACCCTAGATTTTAATTTAGTATGATGTGAATACGTTTTCTCCTCAAACTTCCCCCCAACACAAGCAGCGAAATGTCCTTGTACAAACAGCTTTCCACACAGGGTTACATTCCTGACAGTCCTAACAGGAAGCTGCATTGGACAGTGGCAGGATGACTACAGATCATGAAGCAGATGTGGTGTTCAGCCTGGCCAACACTGGCTTTGATCATGTGTCACTCTACGGTATGAGGCTTTATTCAGAGTAATTTAAATCATTTCTTCTCTCAAGGATGTGGTGCTAGTGGGATCACAGGGCTGAAACACCATCCCTGCCTACCAGGGCTGAGAGTCAGCAGCTGCGGACCCAGTTCAGGAAAACTGCTTGCCTCTGTTTCCTGATTTTTAAAAAATGGAGGGTGGAGTCTTTCTATTATAAGAAATAAAATGAGTCTGCGTGCAGTGGTGCAGACCTATAATCCCAGCACTCAGGAGACTGAGACAGGAGGACTGCCATGAGTTCAAGTCCAGCCAGCGCTACGTAGTGAGTTCAAGGCCAGCCTGAACTGCATAGCGAGACCCTATCTCAAAAAGAAAAGAAAGCAAATGAGATCATGTACATGTGCAGAATAAATATGTAATAATTTGCTGTTATCTAAAAAATTTTTTCTTGTGAAACACATTAATTCATTCACAAGCATTTGTGAATTAAGTATTGATCTGTGCTACCCTACGCACAGAACCGGGCTTTTAATTGTTTATGTTAAATAGATGATATTTATATATGATATCCATATTGTTGTTATTTCAGAGCATATTTTTTCTTAGAGATTTACATAGAGCTTTTTGCATATTCTGGATAGAAAACAATGTACTGGTCAATAATATCCTCCCACTTACTCAATATACTGTTTCCACCTTAGTTTTTTGGATTTTTACACAAATTTTAACTTACCAAAGCCATTAATCACATCATTGTTATTGTATTCAATGATCTCAAAATTGTATCCATTCCAGTTTTAGCTTCATGATACATTTCTTCTTTTTTTTTCCTCATTGAGTTTATTGGTACATTTTAGGCATACAGTACAGTTACATTCATCATTGGGATCTTGTATCTTTGCATGACAGGTTTTGGTTCTCATTTTTTTCCCAAACCCCTGCCTTCCCTTCATTCCCTCCTCCCCTCCCTACATGATACATTTTCTCCAAATGCTAGTTTACTGTGGTAACATTAACCAACAATGCTTCCACCTCCCCTCATTCTGTTTCATTCAATTTGTTGTGGATTATTATTATGCAATGAAAGGTGTTTGTATCCATCTTAAGTACTCTGTTTTACTACGGCTTGGTTTCTGTGTTTTGGCTCAGAAACCCTTGTGAGGCACAGGTATGTTTTGGGACATGATGGGGAAGATGCCCATTGTGACTGGTTTCTCTACAGTTTGCTTTCTGGCCTGTGTGATATGCCTGCTGGCTCCATCCCACTCACCCTGACCAACCTGAAGGATCTTCTTGAGATCCCTCGAACTCCGTGGAGTATGTTTCTAGAAAGTTCTATGGAATGGTCCTTTCCTGACCTCCTATGCAAGTGCTCTGGGAAGGTGACATCTCTCTAGCGTGTGGCTATCTCTGACTGCAACCTAAGAAGGGTTTTCTGGAGCCAGAGACTACTCACCCAGCCAGTGTCAGGCCTTTTCTCTGCCAGCGTGCGAACAAAATCCGGGCCCTGTAGGAGCAGATTAAGACATAAGGGCCATGTGGTTCAGCCTGCTCCCCACCATCACAGAGCCCACAGGCAGAGCCCACTTGGGCCAGGAGCTTACTCGGCCTGGATCTAAGAGCTGTTCTATCTGCCGGTCCTTTCTATTATTTTCCTCTTCCATGCGTCGGAGTTTTGTTCTCATTAGATCCACGTCACTTTTCTGTGTGTGTAATAACTGCAGAAGAGGATCACTCATACATACCCATGCATGTAACCATAATGAGGTGTGATTGAAAAATACGGTCAATATCAAAATTTAAGAAATTATTACAGTAAAACACATAGTGCCATTAATTCCCCTTAAAATCCTCCCCTCACTTCAACTGTACTTATCCCATCATTCTTGCCACTTTCTGAAGCAGCTCTGGAAGCCTTCTTTTATACCTTAATCTTAGTATTCTCCATTTTTTGGATCACCTCTTGTGCAAAGAAACACACTGAAAGACATTTAAACTAAACAAAAAACGGAATTCTAAAAAATGCTCAAGGAGGCAGAAAAATAAAGCAGAAATGTGAAGCAGAAAGAACAGAAAACGGGAGATATATTCTAAAATATCAATAATTATGTTATCTATACATGATATAAACAAAACAATTAAGGAGGGCAGGGACCAGGGGAAAAAATGAGAACCAAGACCTGTCATATAAAGGTACAAGATCCCAGTAATGAATGTAACTGTACTGTATACCTAGAATGTACCAATAAACTCAATAAAAAGAAAAAAGAAAAAAAAATTAAAAACGGCAAAGTAAAAATGTGCTATCTATAAGAAACTCATTTCAAACATAATGAAATGGTATATTGAAAGGCACAGAATACAAAAAGAACCAGGGACTTAGCCCAGTGGTTTCACTGCCTGCCTTGCAAGCACAAGGACCTGAGTTTGATCCCCAGTACCAAAAACAACAACAACAACAAAAAGACAGCTGGGATTTAGCTCAATGGTTCTGCCACCTGCCTCACAAGCACAAGATACCAAGTTTGATCCCTGGTACCAAAAATAAATAAATAAATAAATAATAGAAAACTGATTACAGAAAGGAAAAGACATACGATGCACACATTAACTGAAAAAAAGTGCAAATGGCTATGTTACCATCAGACAAAGTAAACTTTGAAGAACAGAAAGATACCAGAGAAAGGGATGTTATACAATGTTTTTAAAAAGTCCATCCACAGCAAGTCATGGTGGGCCACACCCATAATTCCAGCACCCTGGAAAGCTGAGACAGAAGGTTCACAAGTTTGAGCTCAGCCTGGGGAACTTAGCAATTTAGCAAGATCCTGTCTCAAAATAAAAATGGCAGGAGATGTAACTCAGTGTGAAGGCCTTGAGTATAATCCCCAGTACCACATTAAAATAAAAATCCATCTACCCAGAAGACAGAGCCCCTCCAAGCCTCTTGCAAGCCAGCAGCCTGTGAGGCAGAGCCTGATACCCTCTGAGGGAAATGGACAAACTCATGATTGCAGTGGAGCCTCAATACCCTCTCTCCACAGGTGACAAAACATGGGGTGACACTAGCAAGGCCAGAGGAGCACTCCCGGCACTGTCCACCACCGTGGCCACCAACAGGGATCCAGCACTTATAAACAGCCAGGCCACATTGGAACCAGGAGGGAGCAGAAGAATGAAACAATGTGCTCTGTGGCCACAACAAACTGAAAACCAGGACAGAAAAATCACAGGAAAACATCCAAATACTGAAAACTAAACTACACAACTCCAAATAATCCAAGCATATCTCACAGGGAGTTTCAAGAGAAATTCTTAAATACACTGATCTGAGTGAAAATGGTGATACAGTATATAAAAATGTCAGAGCCAGGGTCACGCCAAGTGGAAAAGGACATCAGCCCACTAGCACCTCCAGGGTTCTCCAGGGCTGCACTGAGGGGGCTGCAGTCTGAGACAGCCAAACACTTGTGAACCCAGTTGTACTTTAGAGATAGTCACGGAGACAAAAACAGAGCATGGTGTGCAGGGCAGAGACAGTGAGAAGAGGGAGGAGAACAAGGGGCCCCTGTGGGGTGTTGGGCAGCTGTGTTCCCACTGCATGGTGACACAGAAGCCACACCTGTGCTGTGACACAAAACCACATGCACACTGTACCAACAATAGTTTTCTAGTGACACTGTGCACGGAGGGAGATGGAGCGAAACTTACTCAGGACCCCTCTATACTACCTTTACAGTGTTCTTGAATCTAATGACAGACATTCCTCATTTAATGACTAAATCATGGTCCTGCAACTAGGTCATTAATTGGATTGTTTGCTAAATGAGGAATTGTATATAGCATGTATATTATAATATTCAGAACAAAGAAATGGTCAAAGGAAACTCCAACTTGATGACTTTGCTTTTATTTGCTTAACTCTTACATGCAGTACACTAATATATAGTGTAACAAAATATAAAACTGTAATACTATATTATACAATCAGTACAATCAAATTATAGTACTGTACTATAGAAGAAGCCACCATAAGGCTGTACTGCTGCTCATGTTCCTGCACTAAGTCTAAATGCAGGTCATAAGTCCAAAAGTCATTAAATGGGTAGGTTGTTAAATGAGGACTGTTTTTCAAGTATTTTAATAAAACTGGCCAGTATTGTCAAGGATGGTGGCTCATGTCTGAAATCCTAGTTCTTGGGAGACTGAGGCAAGAAAATCACCACAAATTTGAGACCAGCCTGGGTTATACAGTGAGACTGTCTCAAAAAAAAAAAAAAAAAAAAAAAAAAGGCAAGCTAAGCTAATCACTGTATATCAGGCACTATGCCGAAACACTTTCATGGATTTGTTTTACTGCTTCCTCACAATAGGCCTATCAAATTGGCATGACTGTTTCTTGTTTTGGGGTTTTTTTTTTTTTTCCTGGGAATTGAACCCAGGGCCTCACACATGCTAGGCAAGTACTCTATCACTGAATACACTCCCCACCCCATCTCTATTTTTAAACAGGCCCTGCTTGCATATAAAACAATGCTGATGTTCAAGATCCGCAAGAAGTGAGTAATGAGAACCCAGCCTCTTCTGTCTGAATTTAGAATCCAGGCTGATATTGCCCAGAGATCCACAGTGGCAAGTACAAAGAAAGGGTCAGTATCATTTTCCCCCAAGATCTATTTCTGGAGGATTTCTCCCAGGAGTACTGTTCCGGTGATAAGTTCATTTCGGGGGCTCTCAGGGTCTATTAGATATGAACAGCCCACCCTCAGCTGGAAGCATCGAGGACAGGGCATGTGCATCCTCCTGGCAGCCCTCTTCCCACTGGACAGCTCTCATAGGCAGAACACTCTTCTCACAACAGCCTGCCTGGGCTGTGCTGCTCAGCTTGGGTGCTGTTCGACTCCTCACAAAGGACAGGCACGTTGGCTGCCAATGCCCTGCTTATGCTCTGGTGCCTGCCTGAACAATCCTGCAGACCCAGCTCAACTAGGTGAATTGTCAACAGGTCTACAAGAAAATTAAAACTAGGGGACAGGAACCCAGATAATTTCTTGTGGGGGACAAATATATATATATATATATATGGAACCACTGTGAAGCTGGTATGGTGGTACACATCTGTAATCTCAGCACTCTAGAGGCTGAGGCTGGAGAATTACAAGTTCCAGCCCAGACTATGCAACTTAGTGAGACCTTCTCTCAAAATTTAAAGAAAAGGGATGGGGATGTACTGTAGTTCAGCATGAAGGTCCTGGGTTCAATTGTCAGTACAGAAAGAGAAAAGAAAAAAAGAAAAGAAAGGAAAATGAACCATATGATAAAAGTGGTTGTGCTAGTGATTTTTCTCAATGCCATTCACACCTGTGTCTCTGAGAGAGTGCACTGGCCTTCAGAGGCAGTGACTGAATCCTGGTTCTGCCATTGGTTAAACCTTGGTCAACCTCTCTAAGTCTCAAGAACAGATGACAGCTGTACCAATTGGCCCTGTATCTCATGGAGCTTCTGTATAGCTGGACAGACAGGCATGTGGAATGTTGCAACAGCACTAATACAGTGTAATGAATGGAAGGCTATGACCCTGTACCAAAGCCCTTACTATGACACCAAATGCCAGGTGTGGGGACTCTAAAGTGACTCCATCCTTATCCAGCTTTCTCCGTCCTACTAGAGCACAGAATCTAAACTTTGATGATTGCATACAGCTGGTGCTACCTAAAACACTGCTGCCTTCTGTGCAGCTGGTGCAACTGGCCTTCTTGCAGATAGGATGGCCAGCTCCTACGACATGGTGCCAGGGCACAGACTCTGTTGTGACAATGCCCAAGACATTCCTTACAGACGTGTCCCAGAACTGATACCCAGTGCGGTCCACTGTTACAGAAGGGTACCGTCACCCTGATACTGATCTGTAACCCACCGCTATGGAAGGCACTGCTGCTAAATCAACAACAAGCAGGTAGAACATTACCTTCTTCAACTCAATAATCTCATCATACATGTCTTCTTTCTCTCTGTAGACAGCAGTTCCAGGGACGTGACCTAGAGGACCATATATAAGCCTCTTAGGAGACCAACAGAAAGAAAAAGCATTCTTGGCTCTGCCTTAAAGAAAACCTGGAAGTTAATAAAATTATCCTTTTTAAAAAAAGAGAATAAAAGAGGAAAAATCTCTTTTGAAATTTTTACCTTCATCATGATACTTGCCCCCAAAAGAAGGGAAACAGAGCAAAAAAAAAAAAAAGATAATATATAGAAAGATAAAGCAAAGGAAAAAAAATAAAAATATAAGCACAGAATTTAACTATGGGAAAAGGACTAAAGAAGAAATCACAAGAAACATGGTATGCTTAGATTTCACACAGCAAATAAAACAAAAACCAAAGACAATAAATCCACATGGCAACAATACCCATTCCAATAAAGGACAGTTTTACTGTGGCTTTAATGTAACATCTAGTATATGTTAGGAATCCAAAATATTTAAACCTAAAATACAACTCCTAACCAGTAAAATCAGCTCAGGAGGAATAGTGAGACAACTGCCCCACCTACTTTTCTTTGGAGAGGCCCATGAGAGAGGCCAGCAGAACACAGGCACAGCAATGTAAAACATACCAATTCCTTTGGTGGGACTCAGGCTTTGTATTATTATCTGTAATTTGTATTTGTTTCTAATGTTGTTTTTACAATAAATTTACATATGAGGTTCAGGAAGCCTGGCCCAGTGGAAGCCTGGCTGTAAAGGTCACTTCCCAGGTGGGCAGAATGACCTTCACAAAACACTGTCCTCAAGATATTCCAAAACATCCTAGGGATGAAGCCTGCACACAAAGCCAGCAACATCACTCTGGCAAAGGACAGTTCCATCCAGAGTTCTTTGTTCTGGTCACATCAGCACACTCACCACTGCTGGTGGGACAGCTGAGGCTGAAGCTCTCCATTCTCACAGACTGTCAGGGAGCCGAGGTACTGCTGGAGGTGGCCCTCTGCCTGTTGTGGGGTGAGGTGGAGCTTGAGGGGCTGGGAAGACTTCCTAGCTTGAATGTACATGGATTGAATATGGCAGTACCGCAAACACACTGGGAGGCACTGCCCCTCCTCAACCTTCCTGAGACACCAGTAGTCAGCCACCAGTGTGCTGGTGAATGTCTCCCCCTGCCTCTCAAAAATACATCAGTGAAGCCCTGTTTATAACATCTGCCCATTTCTGCAGTCTAACAATTCCATACCCTGTATCAGTTGCTAGTGTAACATGAGTTTGACACAATACTCCTAAAAAACTTAACAGATGGCTCCTGCAAGCGCTGCTCCAACACACAGTCACTTGCAGTGCCAAGACAGCCTGAGGCGAGGGCAGTTTCACTGTCATGGAGTGCAACCAAGGCAACCATGCCTACTTGGGGCAAGAAGACTGTGATGCATATAGTCACGGGCTTTGAGAAGATTAAAGACATCACTCGAACAGGCAGTGTTGGAACCTTTGTCACCTTAAACCTCAGCCACTCTGCTCTAGGGGGAGTGCCTCTGCAGGGCAGGCACACACCTTGCTTTGAAGTTCCCAGCCACAGCTTCTGTGGGGTTAAGGACATCCTGCAGCTCAGCGGCATACTCCCAGAGGTCCTGACAGATCTATTCCACGATGCCACTTTCCTTGGTTTAGAATAATAAGGTGACTCTAAAAAGACAACACAGGGTTTCTGAGCTGTAAAACAACAATGTCCTCTCAACAGATTGCTTTAGAGGCAAAAATGGTAAAACAAACTATTCAAAGGCTATCAGGACTCTAGGTAAAAATGCTCTGGCAGAATTTCTTAAGTACACATATTTTATTTCATTAACTTGAAAAAATGTTTTGGATTGGGTCTCGCTCTATTCCTTAGGCTGGCCATGAGCTCCTGGGCTCAACGGATCTTCCTGGCTTAGCATGCTGAGCAGAGAGGACCACTGGTGCAAGCCACCAAGCTCAGCTTTGTGATTCCTTTACATACACATATTAACTAAGTATGTGAACATGCACACATTCACATTTACATTTCTCTTTCAATTTTTACTATAAATAGAAACTTAAAATGTATAATTCTACAAATATATTTGATGTCCCCTCCAGTTTATTTCAGGTATGTATATATTTTTATAGTCACACTTACAGCAAAGCTATAATTTTGCATCCTTTAGTGTAAATATTTTTCATGGTGCTACACAGTGACATGGCAATAGTACTGAAAAATTTTTTTGTTTGTTGTTTGTTGAGATAGGATCTAACTTTGTAGTGCAGGCTAGCCTCGAATTTGGGTGCAGAGATTATAGGCATGTGCCACTACGCCCAACTAAATTCAAAATGTAATGTAAAATATGTCTAAAAAAAATTATAAAAATTATATTTTCTAGAGCGTTCTTGATTTTGTCATTAAAATAAAGGAAAGTTTAAAATTCTTTTTATCTGGGATTTCATCTCTTCAATTATGTAAGCTATGACAAATTTATGTAAAAATGAAGGTACCCATGAAACATTCTTACTTTTTTGTTTTGGTACCAGGGATCGAACTCGGGACCTCGTGCTTGTGAGGCAGGTGACGGCACTACTGAGTTAAATGCCCAGCCCCATTCTTACAAATTTTAGACAGCAATGAAATTCATATCTGTAGAAAGTCCAGAAAATTTATCTAATGTTTACATTAATTACATTAAATTACATTAATTTTTTCCATGGTGTCACAATTTATGGCAAGTGTCCCATTTCACTCAGAAGGAGGGAATGATGCCACATAAGCTCTGGGTATATTTGCACTCACCCCAAGACTCCAGGCATCCCTCAGGCCTTGCAAACTCTCAATGTTTAAAAGTAAATCAATGATCAGAAAAAAAGAGACCATGAGCTGGGCATGGTGGCACACACCTGTCATTCCAGCACTCTGGGAGGCTGAGGCAGGAGGATCACAAGTCAGAGCCCAGCTTGGCAACTTAGCAAGATCCTGTCTCAAAATAAATTAAGGGCAGGGGATGTAGCGCATGCAAAGGCCCTGAGTCCAATCCCCAGTACAGAAGAAAAGAAAAAGAGCCCATAAATCACATTTGTCTTGTAATGTGTATGGACTTATCGATGAGCTGCAGGAATTCCTCAAGAAAAAAAGTATGCAAATGGAAAAAAGCCAGGGCGAGGAAGGAAAATGAAAACAGGATAGTGGAAACACTGTGGTGTTTGATATTGCCTGAAGAATGCAGCTGAAAGAGCAGGATGCCCAGGATGTCTGGGAGGACAAAGAGCTTTAGACTCTGCAAACTGCAAACCTCTGTGTGAACTGATCAGGCATTCAAGACAGCTGTTGAGTACATGGGACAGATGTGGGACCTGATGTCACCACACTTGACATCCAGACAGAAAAAATAGATTCTGAACAAGTCTGAAGAGGCTGTGTCCTGTCTGAGAGCCAGGGGCAGCATGCTGGGAGATGTGGCCATTGGTGTGGAGGGCTGAGGAACTTTTCAACAAGGAGCACTGGGGTGAGGTGAAAGGTGTGGGTCCTGGTGAGTGGAGCAGGTGCCTAGGCTCTGGGGAGAGAGCTGGGGAGGGTGTGCTGAGGGTCAAGTGCAGCCCTGACACTGCCCAGGCTCCGGCTCTGGCTAGTCTAAATCCCAGGAAAAACAATTTTGATGTTTACAAAACTCAAGAAGAAAACAATTTGATTACTGATTATCTAACACTTGGAATGCTTGGCATTCAGTAAGAACCTAACTTTCCTTTTTCTTTTATTCTTTTGTATACTGGGCATTGAATCCAGGGCCTGGTGCATGCTGGGCAAGTATGCTACTCTGAGCTACAGTTGCCCTTGGTTTCTTTCAAAGGTGCACATTATTCATAAGTACCATGTAATCTTCTCAGGAATGTACATGCTGTGCTCCATGGCCAGTACAAAAGCTCCTTTGTATCCTTCTCAATGTATCATACTTACAAAATAAGTATGTTTGAAGTACATGCCACATGTATGTAAAACACACACACACACACACACACACACACACACACACACACACACACACACACACACACA